GCTTCTTATTGCGTTTTACACGTTTGATTACCCGTCTCCAAGTTACTTCCACCCGTCTCCAAGTTACTTCCACCCGTCTCCAAGTTACTTCCGAAACGTACATGGATAAATATTTTCAAATCTCGCAAAAAAAAAGAAAAAAAAAAAGAGCCGATTTTTCTAATTTTATATTTTGACGTGACTAGAGCCCAGAGGAACACCAGATGGAGTTTTCTTCCGGAAAAGGACAACTCTACACGTTGCCTTCTCAAAACGAGCATGAAACTACAAACATCTATGGACAAATTCATAGGCCGAGGTTATTTCCATCTCATTTGGTAAGTTGAAGCCGTACGATTGAGTTAAACTGACTCTTGGTTGAAAATAAAATTGTTCTTCAGCGATTTGCTTTGATATAACATGATTTGAAATAATTATAAATAATTGTTTGTTTAATTAATCAAGTCATAAAATGTATTATACATCTTCTAAACTTATAGAGAAAATACTTGCCATAAAAAGTTAAAAATTTGAACATGAAAATATTACCCTAAATACTTCAACTTTTTTCATCAATTTGATATGAATGATAAAACGCAGAAATTGTGAGGAAATAAGAACGGAGACTAAAGACAAAATTAAATGTCTGTTAGAATAAACAAAGTTTAAAATTGACCTCTTACATAGACATTAATTAGTGTCAATGAAAGTAATTAATAAATGACGTATAAATCGTGATGAGTCTACTTTTCCGTGTCGTTTTTTTTTTTAATGAATATCTTGTACGTTTTAACAATTGGTAATTTTCTCATTTTTTCAGTCTTCCCCTGGCGGTCATTACTGCGATGTGGATTACTTAAGGAGAGATGAATATGAACCTAAATATCCTCCAAATAATGGTTTTATGAATATGCAGATCATGAGGCCATACTATAAGTAGAAAAATTAACAGAACCTTAGTCTGGCCTTAAACTGCTCATAACTTATATAATACTATATAGGTATTCTAAGAATGAATATATTCAGTGGATAAGCTTGTTAAATGTGATTTTCATGTGTTTCCGAACTATGGTCAGGACATATAGTTTTGAAACGAACAGATAGGATATCTTTTGCAGCAGTTACTGGTGAATTATAAATTACATAATTTTTCGTAATCATTTCTAAACCCATAACCCCAATAATTTACGGAAATAAGAATAAAATAGAGCGTATTATGTTATTGCTTTTAAAGCCACTGAACGACTAAAACGTATAATAATCCTGTCTTATGATGGCTAGATGTAAACTAAGAACTACATATTTCAGAGTATAACCCAGTTTTAAAGTTTCGCGGTCTTTTGTGTGAGCGTTTGTGATAACAACTGAATAACTTAGCTTTTTAGTGTTGGTATAAACGTTGTTGATCGCGGAACACACCGCAACATAAAAACTGTTGTTGTTATATCGACCACTTCTGTATTTTTTTGGTATTCCAGTCGGCCTGAAGAGCTCTGGATTGAGCGAAATGCAACGTCGACAGTGAAAATGACGAATATAGTGTGGTTGGAATCACTGTCTTAACAAAGTATTGCGATCGGGTCAAGACCCCCCCCCCTCCTCTGTGCTCCATTCATTCTTCAAAGTCCCTAAGGTAGTACATTGAGAATGTAGTGTTTAAAAATGTGATAGGTTCGATACCAATGTCTTATGACATGTATACGTTATACAACAACAAACCTACAGGCTATGAACCTGAGACGTTTCATTGTGTTACGTTCAATCTTATTTCCTGTCAGATATTTCTGAGTTTGTGACAGTATTACTATTTATAAGGCTAATTTATTATCTCGCCAGAAAGTCAAAAGCCCTCCGCCTCACTAGGATGTTGTTGTTCACTTTATTAACACAAGAAGTTCGTGCAGAGAAACACTGACGGAGGGCACCATTGCTTTCACTTTTAGCTGAGGATATTTTTCTTTTTTGAACGTGAACTGGTGCTGAGTGCTAGGACACTAATGTTTATTTCCTCAGAGTTTGAACATTTACAGTAAAGTGTCACTTGTTTCAGATGTTTATTTTATCTGTATTTTGTAAAAGATCCCTTGTGATTTTGGCAATAAACTGATTATATATACACACACACACTTATTTTGCTTTGTTCTGCTATGATATTGTACTGTTATACTTTCCAGTGTTCACACTATTATACTCTTCCAATACCCTCACTATTAATAGTTTTCCAATACTCTAAGTACCAATATTCTTCCAGTATTCTAATTATTATACTCTTCCAATACCCTCACTATTAATAGTTTTCCAACACTCTAAGTACCAATATTCTTCCAGTGCTCACAATATTATACTCTTCAAATACCCTCACTATTAATAGTTTTCTAATACTCTAAGTACCAATATTCTTCCAGTATTCTAATTATTATATTCTTCCAATACTCTCACTATTAATAGTTTTCCAATACTCTAAGTACCAATATTCTTCCAGTGCTCACACTATTATACTCTTCCAATACCCTCACTATTAATAGTTTTCCAATACTCTAAGTACCAATATTCTTTCAATGCTCCACCAGCTTTTGGCATTAATGTTTTTACTTTTCTTATATAAATAAGACTTGATTTTTACAGTACAGCGCAGCTGACAAGCTCTGATACTGAAAGAAAAGGCTTCCCGAGCAATTGCATGTTATTTTTTTCATACCTAATAAAACTAAACAGTTACAGATAATTTTAATTTTATATCGAATATTTCGTCACATTTCAGGTTTTAAGACGACAATACTGTTGTACTTTGAAAATGTTAATAACGAAACTATTTCAGTACTAATGTGTTGCACAATATTCTGTTTTATTACCTATACACTAGGTGCTCTATGTTGCAGATGTACCAAAAGTTGACTATTCGGCCATTTATTTAAGTATGCAGTGCAGTTTTCCGCAATTTCGTTATTTCTCCTGCCCGAAGAAAGAGGGAGCTCAGTACTCTGCTCGCCCTCCAGTTCCTTTATGCGGACTGGAATGAAATGAAGAGATACTAAGAAAATGTTTATATTGTTTCTTAGAAAATAATAATTTTACTTCACATGTCTTAAAATTCATATAATTTGTCATCATTAACACTTATTTTGGGCCTTTTAATAGAAATCTTGGAAGAAATATACCATGTAGGCCTAATAATTTATTTCTACATTTTATAGAAGTTTATCTATACTTGATTGTAAAGATAGGTACATAACATGTCTTCCTACTGTTATTTTACACAGAATAATCCAATCTTAGAGCATGGGAATATCAATGTCTCAAAAAAAAAAAAGAAACTTTTAATAAGGATATTTTAAAATACATAAAGTTTAACTTATCCTCATTCTTGATGAACTGGCTAAATATACCTGTTAAACAGTTCAAAACAAGTGACGAAACAAAGTATTCCAATCTTTAGAAGTATGAATAGAATATTTAATTTTCTATACTCATTAACGGGTTGACGTTTGTTATTTTTTATTTACTTCTGATTAGAAGTAAACATTTAATAAGACTATCGTATTTTGACATTGAAGCTTTATATTTATTTCCACTTCATACATTCAAATTGCTGATCTTTGTAAGAAATTTTGCAACAAGCAGAAACCAATAATAATTTGTATGGTTTAGTTAGAATATTCATCAAAAGATGGCGGGGCTACTACAGCTTACACCTTTATTTCTGATATTAAGTGTTTATCGCGGAGAATCGGACGCTGTATTTTAGGGAGATGTTCTAAAAGCCGGAACTCGTTACTGAACCTTACCAATAATTTGATACTGTATAACCACGTGAACTATAATTAAGACAACCAAACTGCTTTGTGACGTGTAAAAACTTAGATGTTTGTTTGTTTGGAATTAAGCACAAAGTTACACAATGGGCTATTTATGCTTTGCCCACCACGGGTATCGAAACCCGGTTTCTAGCGTTGTGAGTCCACAGACATACCGCTGTGCCACTGGGGGGGGGGGGCAAAAACTTAGACAATATTGTTCGTAGTCAGTAAAGTTAATAAAAAAATCACAAAATCTGTCTCTTGTGGGGGAATTTCACCTGATTATAGTTTGACTAAAACACTTTCCTTTAAATATATGGGCGGCTCAGAAATCAACTTCATTAGCTAATTTAATGACAATAAAACTATAAGCGTGTGAACTAAAATTTAAAAGAGAAAATATTATCATGCCTACCTGAGAAACGGAAATTGAAGTAACGTAAGGCTTTTCTGATCCGATTATTGTTTTTTGAATTTCGCGCAAAGCTACACGAGGGCTATCTGCGCTAGCCGTCCCTAATTTAGCAGTGTAAGACTAGAG